GCTTTAACAAGACTCTAAGGGCAATGCTTCCTTCTTGAACTCCTGGTAATCACTGTAGGATTAATTTACTTAAAGTTTTATTGACTGACTGTGTGATCAAATGAATATGATAATTCTAAGCATTTTAATATGTCATAACTCAAAAGGACAGGAACAGTGGCAATTTTATTTTATTCAGTAAAACTTCCTACTTTCTAAAGGGGGCAGTCAAAAAGCCACATTCATTGTGCATCTCTATGGCAGAGTATAAAAAAGAAACTATATAAAACTCAAATTCTTTATTATTAGAAACTATAGTCGTGTATGTTTCAAATGTAGCCAAATAATGTTTATGTTGTTTATGGTATATTCAGATGAGTCAGAAACAGTTTTGCTTGTTTCTTAATTCCTTAGATACCAAGGAAAACACACATTCAAATAACCTTTTTTCTTTCCTGTTAAGCAACAAATGAAGCAAATAATTGGAGGCTAGTAGCTGTCTAAGGAGATTAAACAATTGCTTAGTTGAGCCTAAAAATTATAAATTAAGGACATTAAGATTTTGAGAAAGCTTTTTTCCCACACATTAATATTTTTGATTTCACATGATACATTTGTTCTCTTTTTAAGTCTTTTAAAACAGTGCCTCCAGAATGCCAGTCCTTTTTTTTTAAATATACTGCAACAACTTCTAAGAACAGTATATAAGCCAATACTCAAATATGAAGAGAACTTTCCTCATCATATTTAAATATAGACCAAATAGCTGAATTGAAGTAATCAACCAACTTTAACAGAAAGCTGGAGAAATGCTGGGTTCCGTCCACCAACTCCATCCAGCGGGGGGTTTAATAACACAGCAGTGATTTTATCACCTTAATTTAAGAATAGATAACAAGGTTTCTAACAGTTTCTGGCTTAAAAACGAAATAGGGCTTTCTAGAACTGAATTTGCCATTAATTTTAAAAAATCAAATTCGTTTTTCAGACTTCATCTAATACAGAAATGTACTGCCTAATTAAATCCATGTTCAGTATAAAAGGGGGAGGTGCCCTGCACTAGATAATCTACATATTTTGTGGATAGAAGAAATTATTTAGATATATAGGCTCAAGATAAAAATATAGGCTAAAGTAATAAGTCTTTAAAAATAGGAAATATGTGACAAATTATTAATAATCCCTTGAAGAAAAGTTGGTCTCATAATCAAAGGCATAAATATTAATTATTAGGGAAGAACATCCATTTTTTTAAAAGATTTTATTTATTTATTCATGAGAGAGAGAGAGAGAGAGAGAGAGAGAAGCAGGCTCCCAAGGAGCAGGGAGCCCGATGTGGGACTCGATCCCAGGACCCTGGGATCATGACCTGAGCTGAAGGCAGACGCTTAACCATCTGAGCCACCCAGGCGCCCGAAGAACATCTATTTTTTAAACTTATTGCTGAGGGTACATTCCTAACACTGTTTATTTAAATATCATCCGAGTTACAGTGATTATATTCAAAAGCTCTTGATTCAAGATTCTGAGATAGCTTGGGAGATGAAAAAAGCCATTTGTATGTAATATAAAATCTTCATTACAGTGATCATCAGATCAGAATTCGAGTGATTTTTTTAAATGCTGGTATCTGATTGTATCTTTAAAAATTTGGTATCTAAACGTACATGCCTGAGAAAGAAGAAATCTAAATTTTCTAAGATAGTATAGAAGAAATAACTTTATTTTACACTAACACTTTTGTTTCATATTATTAAGCAGGGGGAATACTCTTAAAAGAACTCTATCACTTTCATTGTATCTAGGATGCTTTTGCCCTATCATCCTAAGCTTTGGTGTATAAGGAGATTTTTCAAAAGAAATGTTGTCTTTGAGGCTATTTTGCATGTAAAGACTTTTCGTGTAAGGTTTAAGTGTAAAGAACATGGTAGTGGTGCAAAGACAAGTGGATATACACACTCTTTCTGTTCTACAAACGCCGCCTTCCTATTTACATTGGCAGAACTGCACGAGGCCATTATTCTTTATTGAGATCTCCCCAAAGTATATAGCAAATTTTCTCTCCCACGGCATGACACAGTATCTGAGTAAAATTACCAATTAAAATAGAACATTATAAAAAAGCACCCTAGGAAAAAATAACACTTATTTCTAAATATAAAAGAAAATCCTAAGAATAAAGAAACCCAGAAGGAATGCTTGGCAAGGAATGAGTTAGCTTCAAAAATTGTGTGAGAGACAGGAATTGTTTTCCTGACCATGGCTTATAACAACCAGAAGTATGTTTTCCTCTAGTGGATGGCATGAATCTCACAAACTTGGAAAGAATGGTATTAGCAGCAAACCTTATTGATCTGATCAAGAAGAACTAAGACTCAAGGTGGAACAGAAAAATGTGAATCCGTAAAATGGATATTACGGAGGACAACAGGTTTGAAATGAAAATAAAATACAGGGACAAAAATGTCCGGAAATTATTCTGTGAAAATCATGGCTTGGAATAATACTTAGGCCTAGGATATATGGCTATACCGAATAAAACTAAAGAACAGTAGATGTGTTAAGGTCTCAAAATGCACTTTTTTTTTTTAAGTCCTCACACAACTCCGGTGAATGAGTGTAAGAATTGCCACAGATGTTCATGTAAGGAGTGCCCTGAACAGGGGAAGCTGGCCTGTGGGGCAAGTGTGGAATATATTCCACCCCACATGCAATTGGCCAAGAGGTATCATTATCTTCAATTTACAGGGTAGGAACCTAGGCTTGGGTATGTTCAGAAACCAGCTCAAGGGTATCTAGCTAAAAAAATTATGAGGCTAGACTGGCGAGAATTGGAAGCCAAGTATGTCTGGAATTCATACTTTTAGAAAAACATAGGGAAAATTATACACACATAGGCACACATATATAATTTATTCTAAAGTAGCAAAGTAGGGGGAAATTATCTAATTTGTTCACAAGGAACAACACAGCGACTGGGAAATGTGTGTCATTGCATATCAGGGAGTTATATACTAGTTTTATGATCCAGAAACATAAAGATAGGAATTTATAGGAGATGCTAATGTAGGAGAGGAAAAATCTAGAAAGAAGAAACTGCCATTGGAAAATAGTGTAGTGATCGTAGCGAAACATAATACAGAAAGTATTAGTAATGAGTACAAGATGTGGATGACAAGGAAGGGCTTCAGTTAGCTGGATCCCTCTTAGGAGGAAGTCTAATTCTACTAAAAATGTATTTGGGGGGGAAGATTCTACTGGTAACTACTTTTCTGCTAAATTTGCCTTAGAGAGAAGGTGGAGACATTGGGAATGAAAGTTTTGAGGAACGTGAGAGCAAAAAAAGGGAACGATGAGCAGAGGTGGGAAAATTCTGCAGACCGAAAAACAGGCAGCTTTTCAGTTTACAGGGAGCAATGGGCCATTACTCAGATACTCTAAGAAAATATACCAGAAGAAGAAAGTGAGAAACCAAAGATGAAATCCTGACTCTATCATTGCAAATAAAGCTATAACCAGAAAAAAGGAAAAGACACCTAATGAAAATAATTTAATTTTATAAATAACAATTTGGTATTCAGTTCTTAGGTATTTCAAAATATAGATAATACAAGATGAATGTGAATGACTAAATCAAGTGGTAAGGACTTAGAAAATGAGTTGATGTGTCTAAAGTCAAGAATGTTCTAAGAAACTCCAAATATGAAAGATCTAAAAATGTTAGCTGTGTTCAGTTAAAAAAAAAAAAAAAAAAGATAAGTCCACCAGCTGAGGGAGAAAGAACTGCTAATCTTTCTTGTTTATATTTTCTCTATCAGGGAAAATGATCATCAAATTAGAACAAATAGAACAAACAATTTTTATATGGATTTAGGATTTACTCAGATTTCCTTAGGAACTGAAGTAAAAGAGGGATAAAAAGAAAGTTTCTCAATGATCCACTCTTGTCTGCTATATCAGCAATCTGTGGATACTTAGATAAGAAAGTAGTGATTATCAAATACCAGGATGTATTCACTAGAAAGGAGTTTTGTTTTGTTTTGTTTTGTTTTTGCTTATTAGGCAAGGACAAGAATATTGGACCAACAATGTATCTTAATTTGAATGATGTATCTTACATAGCCTTTTATTATAACTTCTTGAACATGGTAGAAAAAGACTAGTTTTATGATAATACAACAGAGTGGATTACTGATGGTTGATCAATCTTTCTCCAAGCAAATTTTGTCCTTTTTACTGTGGAAACTCAAAATGCTATTCTGTGATTTCACTAAGGAAGTGGAAAACAACACTTTACAAACCTGTGGATAATACAAAGTTTTGAGGGAATCAAATAACTCTTCGAAAATGTTTTGTTATGTAGAAACAGTCACCCCAGATAATATACTATGTATTAGGAAACAATGTAAAGACCTACATTTAAATTTCAAAAATATCATTTGCACCAACAAAGGATAGCAGGGCTTAACGGTGGTTCATTTGAAAAGATCTATTTTCACAAAACCCATAATCTTCAGCTACCTTAGGAAAACATTGTTGATTGTTTCTGCTCATTTACTAAAATATTTCTATTCTTCAGATACATTAAATTCACTCTTAAAACATCCTCTCTCTATACTTTGAAACCCTTCGATTAAAAATAAGTAAGACTTCTAGCTCCTTAGGAAACAAGACAAAGAATTATGTAGCACAGGTAAGTGTGAGCACATCTTAAATAAGTTTCTTTCATAACAAGAATACAATGTAATTTCTATGTCACATCTTCTGGTGAAGGGTTTCAGAAGACTCAAAGGATGGCACTTTAAAAGGTCTCCTGTCCCAGTAGAAAACGCAAAAGTTAATTCCAAACATTTGTGAATAGTTTGGAACAATTCTGTGTAGAGCACAATTATCTTTCACATGGGAAAATATAATTTGGAATTTATGCAAAATGATTAAAAATTTATAGCAACATATCATAATAACAAGGTTTTCACAGAAACCACAAAAATTAAAAAAAAGGCACCAGTTAAATTTCTCACCTGCCTAATACCCAATCGGTATGCAACAATCCGATCTACTGCATCAGGATTCATTTGTGTCCACTGTAGACTGTAAGAATAAACACGATGTCTGTTCTGCCACACAGGATTGTAGGTATCGTAATAGAATTCTGGAGCATAGGCTTTTCCTAAAAATAGAAAGAGTGCTTAAATTTGAATGATGACATATGACAGTCAAACATGCTTATTCTTTTTTGGCCCTTTTACCACATTCTACCATGTGTCCCATGAGTAACTCTTCTATTTGAAAAGTCATTATTAAAATCTAATCAATTTTCTGGAGAATTTTGAGAATAGATGTAAGAAGATTTCCTGGTTGATTAGATGAGCAGTGTGAGAGGAAGAGAAGAATCAAGCTCGACTACAAGTGTTTTTGGTCTAAGGAACTGAAAGAATGGACTTTCCATCAACTGAGATGAAAAACTAGGGGAGGGTCAAATTTTCGGGGAGAACTTCAGAAAGTTATTTTTTAACAGTCTGAATGATCTAAACGGAGACATCAACTGGGATATACTAGTCTAGAATTCCAGAGAGGCCAGAATTAAAGCTATAATCTTGTTAACCATAAGCATATAGATAGATTTTAAGTTTAAAGCCATGAGACTGAAGAGATCACCAAGGCACTGTGAGTAGATAGAGAAGAGTAAGGCCTGTGGCACCTGGGTGGCTCAGTCAGTTAAGCGTCTGCCTTCGGCTCAGGTCATAATCTCAGGGTCCTGGGATCAAGCCCTGAGGTTGGCTCCCTGCCCAGTGGGGAGTCTGCTTCACCCTCTCCTTCTGACCCTCCTCCTGCTTTTGCTCTCTCTCTCTTATTTGAGAGGGAGAGAATGAGAGAGAGAGCATGAGAAGAGGGAGGGTCAGAGGGAGAAGCAGACTCCCCGATGAGCAGGGAGCCCAATGCAGGACTCGATCCTGGGATTCCAGGATCATGACCCGAGCCGAAGGCAGTTGCTTAACCAACTGAGCCATCCAGGCGCCCCAATAAATAAAATCTTTAAAAAAAATGCTAAAGCTTGACCACTGGGGCAATCCAGAGTTAAGAGAGATGAGAGCAGATAACAACCCCAACAAAGCCTGAGATGAAACAAACCAGTGAATGGGAGGAAAATAAAAATTGTGGCATCCTAGAAGTCAAAAGTGGTGTATCAGCAAGTGAATGATCAATTCTGTCAAAAAACCAAAATCAATGAAAATGAAAATTTGTGTTTATATTGTATTTGACCAATACATTTGAAATTACCCAAACAAAAACTTAACGATGACATGAGAACTTGGGCCAATAACAAAGAAGTGTTTGTTTAGATTTCAAGGATATGTGAAGAGCATATAGTGTATACAACATATACAAACCATCTGGTTTTTTTTTTTTTTTTTTTTTTCAGTTACCAAATTGAAAAGTGCATAGACCATTTGGAATTATAGATCCAACTTCTTGATATTCTGAAATATAGGTATTTTTACACCTTCCATTTTTTTTTACCTATAATGTATTTATTTATTAAATCAACAATATCTAAGGAGAGCCTATTAAATGCCACGTAGTATGCTAGGCAGTGGGGATATAATGAATGAAGTACAGCCTCTGTCCTCATAGAAATTGCTAACATTTCTTAGATTTTTCAAATAGCTTTGCAATTCTTACTGAATGATGAGTTAATAGTTGTACATTTATCATCCCTCATTCAACATCTTTTCTGTTTTTTCTTTTATAAAATTAGGTTAAATATTAAATGTCCTCCTGGGTTTTTCCTCATGGGTTTCTGTTTGCAGGAACATCTCTTACCTGGCTTTTCCTATTTCTTCATTAGTCATCTATCATCTAATGATTGCAGAAGAGCTGGCTCATAAAAACTTCTAACAGATAGTTAAAGCATGGATTTTGCCCACTAAGGATGGAAGTGATAGTCTCTATTATCCCAGAGAAGTTCACCAGGAAAAAAATAATATCAGATGAACTGAATTTGAATTTGATTTTTGATAAGGTTTATTAGTGAAATTAAATACATGGAATTTAATATCTGAATTTTAGTAACATTTGAAAAATTCTCCCATATCAACATTGTATGCATTAAAATAAATGGTCTACGGATATTCATTCAGTTAAATTGAAAATGGATTAAAACGGATTCTCCTGCATAGAAGAAGATCTCTAGAAAAGAGCCATCACATTCACTTTATTGCTTCTTTTATCTTTTTATGGTATTTTTCCTATTACTAAGTGATAGCACAAATTCATGTTCATAACACTTAAGAGCAAAATCTAGGTAAGAGGAAAATAATATTCTGAATAAAGAAATCAATACCCAAAATGTTACTGACAACTTGTATTTGAGACCAAATGTTATTGAGAATGTGCACTTAGTAGTAGCCTAGATAAAGAGCTGGGGGTTTTGATTAAAAATAAGCATCCAGGGGCACCTAGGTGACTCAGTCGGTTAAGCCTCTGACTCGATTTCAGCTCAGGTCATGATGTCAGGTCCTGAGATTGAGTCCTGCATTGACTCCACCTTCAGCTGGGAGTCTGCTTGGGATTCTCTCTCTCCCTCTGCCTTTGCCCCTCTCCCCACTTGTATGCGTGCATGCACTCGCACGCTATCTCTCTCTCTCTGTCAAAATAAATAAATAAAATCTTAAAAAAAAAAAGCATCCAAAACCCATAAATGAAGTAATGAGCAGCTTAAGTGAGTAACGTAAACCTGGGATGTGTTTTCAGTAGAGACTAGTGTCTACATTGAATTAAGGGAATAGTGCTTTTGTTTTTTAACCAAGGGGGATATACAGAGGTATTCAATTTAGTTCTAAGCATCACTTTGTTCATAAAATGAGTGATGCATTCAAATGGAATGAGTAGAGAGAGCAGAGTCACAACCTGCGGCTTGTTTAGCATGCAAAAGAACAAAAAAGTCTCTCAAAAATAGGCAGATGCAGTTTTCTAAGACTTGAAATTCTATCACAGAAAGAAAATCAGACAAATTTTAAACGATCTATGAAAAAGAGGACTACCAGTGGGTGGATATTAAAAGGAAACATTTTGGTGTTGAAATGTTCTACCAGTCCTTTCTGACTATTCATTCAATGACTTACGTCAGGAGACTGTGATTTTCTCCTCACTAGAGGCTTTTTGGCAGTACCTACCAGGTATTGCTTAGCAGGGCTGAGATGGGTGACTTTCCACGAGGTGGCCATTAAAGCACTGTTGAGTCTCAAATCTATAGGGTGCTATGAAACATATGCCTACTGTTTATTGTACTACTTTAATTGTACTAAGCATACTAATTTGTAAATTCCATTTTATGTTTCTATTACCTGTAGTCTAATCCTATTTTTTTTGTTGACTGCCAGGAGAGTAACTGGCTGCCTGTCATAAATGCAAATTTCCATAATTCTAGAAGTGATTGTTTATCTAAATAAATACTTTTAAGGTTATTGAAGCAGTTTAACCTTGAAGTTAAAAAATCCTCATGACTCTGTGAATAATATGAATTTGCTTATCAAGATTCTTTTCAAGGTCATCTAACCCTTATTTAAGTATTCCAAATAGATCAAATTTCAGTGTTAAATTCCATCATCTTTATATTTAATTGCAGACTATTATGAAGGCTTTCCAGTATATTTTTTCCAGTATATTCTTAAAATATTTTATCTGAATTGATATATCTGTATTACTGTGAGTAACATAATATGTAATAATCTTTTATGGAATATCAGTATAGAAAATAATTTAGAGATCTGTTCCAAATTCACATGATAGATAAAGAAATTTAGGAATAGAAAAGGTGATGATATACAAGAGTTGATATTAACAAATAATCAAATAAAACAGGCCCAATTACAAATTTTAACTTTAACTCATTTTTATTTTAGTTGAAGAATTTATTTTATTTTTTGTTCATTTTTTTTATTTTAATTGAATTGCAACACCTTAGAGTTAAAGGTAAAAAGCTTTTAGATGGTGTGTAAATAATACTAATTAGTAATAAATAATTACTGATAAAATAATTTTGAGGCCCTAGGTGGCTCAGTCAGTTAAGTGTCTAACTCTTGATTTTGGCTCAGGTCATGATTTTAGGGTCATGAGATGAAGCCTGGCATTGGGTTCCACTCTGAGCATGAAGTCTGCTTCTCCCTCTCCCTATGCTCCTCCCCGTGCTTGCTCAAGCGTGCTCTCTCTCAAATAAATAAATAAATAAATAAAATCTTAAAAAAAAAAATAATCTTGACCAGTTACAGTTAAATATAGGTATTATTGCTTATATCTCAGAACATATTTTGTACTAAATCTCTCTTGGATTAACTACCAAAGAAAAGTGCTTTCTAATTTTATTTAAGAAATAATTTTTAAAAGTCAGAAAACCCCCCAAAACCCCACACATACACAGATTTTCTGTGATTTCAGAACCAATCATATTTAATATTTATACAACCATTGTGTAAGAAGCACACCATAATACTAAGGAAACACCCTTACAATAATCTTAGGCTTTGACAACCAAACATGACATCTGCTGGTTGAACACAGAAAGAATTCATAATATATTTTTTTCTTTTTTATCCTCTGGGCACTTTTTTCTCCTTCCAGCAAGCATGCCAAGAAAATTTTTTCTCTTTTATATTCTAGTTTCATTTTTATGCAACATTGTCCCAGTTTAAATCTTTTTAGACTAAATGACCTAGAACTACATTCATTATCTAAACTAGCAGATAATTTTTAGACACATTATGTATATGGATCTTGGATTCTAAAATATTTTAAAAATATACACAGAAAAATTATTTAATTGTTCAAAATTTTAAATAGAATTTATATAAAATATATTTACTCTATTTTGCAAATAACTTTTGAAAAGTGATTAAATTGAGATTTTAAAATATGATTTTATGCATAAGCTGAAAGTTCAAGCTATAGTAAGAAGCTATGACATGTCACTTTCCTAGTCTAAGAATGTTAAAGTGTAACAAATTTTTATTAGATGCTTCTCTAAGATTTCAAGCAAGAAGGAATTATTCCTTGAGGGTCAAAAAGCACAGAACTGAAAACCCAACACTGAATAAGAGTATAGGGAAGAAAGGAGTGTTGTTGGTCATTGTACCCTTAGGAGTACAATTTTAGGTTCATAGGAGAAGGGGT